GAGTTTAAAATTATTATTAATAAATATTAATTTTTTGAAAGTTATTTTCTCAAATTATTACTTGATATTAGTGAAATTAGTTATTTACAATATTATGTAAAATATTAAATTATTATTAATTTCTATATTATGTTATAATTATCTACTTTTCAGATTTTTTAAATTTATTACATAATTTCTTTATTTTAGACTATTTAAAATCTAGTTATGTTAAATATTTTGTTGTTTAAAATGCTTAGTTATTTAAATACTTAAATAATATCTAAAATATTTAAACTTTAAACATTAGTTATTTCATGAATTCAATTATCCATAAAATCCATACTATTATTACATAATATAATTATTAATTTTGTAATAAATTAAATTATTATTAATTTCAATATGATGTTAAAATTATTTTTCTACTTTGAAGATTTTTTTAAAATTTATTACATAATTTTGTTATTTTAAGTATTTAAAATGTAGTTATGATAAATATTTATTTATTTAAATATTTAATAATCTACAAAATATTTAATTTTTTTTGTTATTTGAATCTTATTTATTTAAATCTGTTACATATTACTAAATATTTGAAAAACATTTAAATTGGTAATCCAGAAAAAAACAAAATTTAAATTGTTAGCACATAATTTTGTGATATATTTTGTAAAAATATAAAATTTCTTTTTGTGTTTTTAATAAATATTTTAAAGTTATTATGTAATTTTGTTTGAATATTTAAATAATTTTGAAATTTTTTCATCCAAACTTTGTTTAGATAGATATAGATATAAAGTAGGGGAGAGGATAAATAGGAATTAGAAATAATTTAGGAGAGAAACTCTCTACTAAATAAGAGATCATTTTGGAGATATATAGGAATTGGAGATAATTTAGAAAATAAATAAGAATTAGAGATAATTTTAGAGAAAGTGGGAGAGATAGTTTAGGAGAAATTTTAAAAGAAAAGTTTATTTAGATTATTGGGAAAGTGCATCTCATTGATTATTTAAAAAATGATATAAAATTAAAAAATAAAAAATTCAAAAAATGGAGAAAATTTCTACACTCCTTTATTTGAATATATATATATATATATATATATACCAATTAAAGAGATATAACAGATTTTTTAATTCTATTTAATTAAGATTTTATAAATGGATAGGTGTCCTTCCTTTATGAGAGGCTGACGTGGGTAATCTCTCTATATATAGATAGTTATAGATGGCGAGTAACTGGTCCCCGTCCAATGTAATATACACTTACCTGGTTTCCTTTTCTTCCAGCGAACTGGACTCTCATGGCTACGGTAGAGGGAGAAGTTCCCATCAATAGAACAACGAAGAAGAGAATAAGAATAAGAGGAAACGTAGGAAAGGAACTGTTGCAGATTCGGGTGCCGAAGAAGCTAATAAAGGAGTTGAAGATGGAGACGAAGGAGAAGAGACGATAACAGCATCAGAAGTAGAAAAACTGGTGATCGCAGAGAAAAGCAAGCAAAAACCGACCGAGGATAGAGAATATGGTAATGCTGAGGAGGAGAAAGCTAAGTATGAAACGGAGGGTAACAATAAGAAGCAGAAGTTGCAGACACGATTAGGTATCAGGAAGATAATCCGGTTTTTTGAAGTGGGCATCTCCAAGCCCACCATGGATGGCATTAAGGATTTGGATTTGGAGAACATGGATGAGGTAATATCGGTTTCATATCATTGTGTATCATTGCGTATGCATAACAGAGGCCTAGGGAGTTCTGTCATAGTTTCTGATCGGACCACAGTTCGTAGTTCTTATTTTTAGCACCATTAAGAGAAAATAACTAATTTTACAACTTAACGGCCAGAAGATCAACTATTTTTCGCTTTTGGAGCACTAGAAAGGTTTCTATGAAACGTTACTGAACAACATAATAAGCATTCAATGCTTCTTATCTAAAACAGCACCAAAATAAAAAACAAGAGTCCTCTTTAATGAGTACTGACCATGGTTCAAAAATTTCACAAAAATCAAAACCAGCAGCTTGATATATGTATATATAAAAACTTAGATAGGGCTTTATAATTAGAAAACGTTATTCTATAGTAAGGTGCATCTAGAACATGATAAAAATTGTTGGACAGGATTTATGTCAACTTCATATTAGTTGGGATAAAGGCTTTATTGAGCTGAGTTGGCGTGTAGAAAAAATAAATTAGATGTTATATGGTTAAATATTCAAATTTCAAAAACTTTGTTTCATTTAACGTAGAGGGAATGCTGAAACATAACCAGAAAAAGCGCCTTGCTAAATACTTATATAACTGAAGAACAAGTTTAATTTTCTGGATTTGTTTTGTGGCTATAATTCTACAATGCCATAGCCCACTTGTTTTGTCAGCATCATATTATTGTTCCCATAAAGGATCTTTCCAAGCACAAAACTCTATTGGATGTCACCCTAGCCTTACATTTTAAATCCAAGCTTACCCTATGGTGTCCTTACCAAATAGAGACCTATTATTGTTATTTCTTTGGGGTGTTATTGTTGGTTCATTATTTGGAAACTTAATCTACTTGAATTCCTCCTAAATAGAAAGAAGATACGAGCTTAGAATTGGGGGTTGGATTTGATTCCACCTAAGGGTGTTCATTCGGTTGGTTTGGTTTGGTCATTTAGAACCAAGAATCTAATTGACATTTTGGTATCCATTCTAATGAACTGAACTGAATCGAATTCAATTCAGTTTGGTCAGTTTTGGCCCATTAACAAAAAACAGAATGCTACAATTTTAATATATATTGTGTGTGGTGCATATTAATGCATCTCTCTCTCTCCATATATATATATATATGTATGTATGTATGTATAATATCAGTTTATTTGGTTTTCAGTTAGGTTTGGTTGAATTTTGTTTTGCCAAACTGAACTGAAAACTGAAAACCGAACCAAATCGAAATGGCTTTTTCAGTTTGGTTTGGTTTGAAGCTGAATTTGAATATCCTAATCCCATCCTCTTTTAAGATGTTTGTTCTCATGTTCATTCTTTGCCACTTTGGGGGAAAGGTTGAAAATAAAAAAACCAATCTATGTTACCTGGATATGGCAAGGACATGGCTAGACAAGGTGCAGGATACAGAAGTTATACTAAAAATTCAAGTATCCAACATGACACCCTTATATAGGTATCTGTTTATCATAGCACCAAACACTACAGATATGTTTATAATGTGGTTCTATTTATACTCGGGCCATTTAGATGTGGGGGACTCCACTAGGGTGGAATTACTAGCTGCCCTTCAAGGGGGTACAGTTTGCAGTACAGCTAGGAGTGCAAAAACTACTAATAGGGGGCGATTCCAAGGTGATGGTGGGGTGGCTACAAAACTCAGAGACTGGTTTGGTGCCTCAAGAATGAATTTAAAAAATTCAAGTGGCTGACAAGAAATATGTGTGTCAGAATACAATGGGTGGGGAGGTCATGCTAGGGCTGATAGTTTAGCCAAGCAAGGGGCCAATAGGGAACAGTTGTAATCTGTTTTTGGTTTTGCCTTCTTGGAGAGGTTGCAGCTTGTGCCTCTCCTTGAATTATAGTAACTGTTTTTCTCCACTTTCTAATAAAAACTCTCTTACTTATCAAAAAAATATATGTTTATAATGGAAATCTATGGTGGATACAAAGAAATTTTATGCAAATAAATGAGAGAATATTAGAAAACGGAAAAAAAGGGAGAACACAACCAAAGGTACCTACATGGTTCACCCACAGTATGGTCATCTTGAAAAAAGATCATTTTGGGAATTATTGCAAATTTGCTATAGGACCAGAAATTACCTTCCCACAGTTTGATGAAAATCCACCTAGAAGTAATTATTCACCCTTCTACAATAACTAGTTGAGCAGCACATGCATTTGCATGTGCAAGTGGAGAGAGAAATAAAGCATAAAAAAAGGAAAGATGAGTAGAGTGGGGAGAGGGGAAAATAAGTGGAGAGAGAGAGATGAGGAAATACATGGAAAATTTTTGCATGGTTGTCTAGATGTAAAGCCAAGGAAGGTATTGGCATTATATGGTAAAAGATTAAGATAAAGATGCTACCTCATCATGGTTGTTGTTTGTTGCAATAAAATATAGGCTACAAGCTTAAGACAACACTGAGACTGAGGAGAGCTCAGCAATCTTCTGCTTCTAGGGCTTTCACAAGAGAGGAAGAATGACAACTTTGTGATTTTAGAATACACCTGGGAGAAAATGACACTATTACTGTCTCTCACCTTTTTTTTGTGGTATTTTCTGTTATTCTGAGATAAACCTTAGGCTTCATTTGTTTAAAGTGCTTTCTTTTTAATCGGCTGTTTGAACTGCAATTTCATTTGCACCAGTACAGATGCTTGAGAGTTTAAATTAGAAAAATGCAAATTCTGGTTCACTTTTGCTTTGGTGTTTACTTTATTTTGCCTCAAGTTTTAGTTTACTTATAATTTAAACAAACAAAATAAGGCAATAGCTGAAACAAAAATGAATCAAATTTTGTACTTATATCATTTACATTTCCATATTTTTGCACCAATGCAAATAAAATTGTACTGTGAACAAATAAGGCCTTAGGTTTGTTGGTGGATGTAGGGCCTTGTATTTGGTCTGGGGTCACATAACTTGCCATCTGTCCTAGGTTAGTATTGTCAGGGATTACCATTCAATTGGTTCCACCCTGAAAATTACTTGGGCAAAAAATTGCTTTAAAATTTTATCCAAGATGTGTGTTTTTTTGAAGCATATTCATAAAAAAATGTGTATTTTTGAAGCAGATATTTGACAGTGGTCAAAAGTTCCAACTCTTTGAAAACTCCAAAAATGGTGCATAAATAAAATGGTATAAAGACATCTAGTTATGCTTGTTTTTGGTTGGGGCCTCTCTTAGGTGGGACACATGCAATGATGGAACCTTGAAATCTGAATATCTGCCTCTTAAGTTATGAGGGCCCAAGATAGAAACTAGTGTTCCTATGTCCCCATACATGAGCCAATTCCTTAATTTTAATCAAGAGAAATTCTTTTAGTTATTTTTTCAGTTCTATAATGATATAATTCCTTGTAAAATTCTGTTGGGAGAAATCTGTTCCTGATATTACATTTCTGATTTGCAACTTCAGTTTCAAGTTAGATCTATCCCACCACTTTTAGATGGAAAGGATGTTTTTAGAGTTGTAGGGACGCATTATTCAGAGAATGTTGGTTTTCTGGTACCAGCTGTTGAATTGTTATATGAACAGTGTTTTACCCCTTCTGATGGAACTGGTGTAGTTATCATTTGCCCAACAAGGAAGCTTGCTTCACAGGTAAAGCTTGTTTCATCATTCTTCAATTCTGTTACAGATAAGTTTATTAAGAAAGTATTATTGTAATTACTCATAAAAAAAGTATTATTGTAATTAATTATCATTGCCTGCTCTAGTTTGTTGGGCTATTTGAAGCAGTTAACCACTTAACATCTTCTTCAATCTTTTTATCTGTAATTTTCTGCACTGCACTTGTTTAGATTGATTTTCATTGTTGGATGATCACTCATTTGGAGAATTCAAATTTCTTACATGTGATAAAATTCATGATGAATCCCATCCTGGAGTGCCTATCTCATTCTCATGTAATTTGTCCAAATTAGAGTAACAGTAGTCTTACCATTTTCATACAGCTTAGGCATTAATACATCCTTTAATGCAATATTTGTGTTGTTTGCACTATCTCAGATCATAAGCCAATTCTTTTGAGGAGCATCTCAAGGGTTGATGGGCCCAAACCGTTTTTATTTGAAAAGATGTGGTTTGGTCATCCACAGTTTTTGTAATGTGTTGAGGACAGATGGAAGAGCTATCGGATTCAAGGGAAAGCTGGTTTTATATTGATGAAGAAATTTCAGCTTTTGAGGGAGGATTTGTAGATGTGGAACACAAAAATATTTGGTAATGTTGAAGCCAAAAAACCAGAAATGTTAAAGAAATGGCAGAATTGAATAGAATGGAGGAAGAAAACAATCTTTCTAGGGTGGGGGGGGGGGAATGATTCATCATGAGGAGATGATGTGGAGGCAAAAATCTAGAGCATTGTGGTTGAAGGAAGGGGATAAAAACATAGCCTTTTTCCATGCAATGACAAGGGAAAGGAGAAGTAATTTCATTTTTAGGGATAGAGTGATTAACAATGAAAAGGAGATCGAGGAAGAAATAAGGACTTTCTAAGTGAAACTCTTTTCATCATCCCAAAGGAGGAAATGATTCTTGGAAGGTTTGGGATTCAATAAGATTGGGGATTGATGAAGGATTGGTTGGAGAGATAGTTCGATGAGGAAGAAATCTAGGGGGGCAGTGAAAATGATGAAGGGAGAAAGCTCCCAAGGATGAATAATTTCAACTTGTTATTCTATAGGAGATGCTGGAACTATGTTAAAAATGATATTTTGGAAGTGTCTAAATAACTTTAGAAAGAAAAGGTACAAATGCTGCCTTTATCTATCTTGTGCCTAAGTTCGAAAATTCTTGTAAGGTGAGAGAATTCAGGCCAATAAGCTTAGTTTCTAGTCCATACAAGACGATTGCAAAAGTTCTACCAAGGAGATTAAGTTCTGTGCTTCATGAGATTGTGCCCAACTCAAATGGGCTTTGTGGAGGGAAGGCAAATTCTAGATAGTAGTGATTATAGCAAGTGAGACGGTGGATGCAAGAATCAGAAGTGGAGAGGAAGGTCTAATTTGTAAAATTGATATTGAAAAGGCGTCTGATCATGTAGAATGGGGTTTTTTGGAGGTATGCTGGAGAGAATGGATGTTTGCTTGCATTTCTACAGTCTCCTTCTCTGTACTGGTGAACAGTGTCTCAACAAAAATCTGGTCTTAAAGCAAGGAGGCCCACTTTCTATCATGCTGTTTGTAGTGTTGCATAAACTGGTGATTAAGGGAGTTGAATGGTTTCAAAGTTGGTAGGGATGGTCTATCCGTTTCTCATCTCCAGTTTATGGATGATACCTTAATTTGAGAGCCATCTTCAAATGTTTTGAGGTCCTGGGTTCCTGGCAAGTCAAAAAAAAAAAAAACAATTTAAACAAGAGTGGCAAGTCATGATCAGGGTGGGAGATACCTCTCAAAAACTTGTTGGAAGACTGTGCAACTTCTTTGGGGTGTTTGGTGGGAGAAATTCCTTTCACTTATCTGGGATTGCCTATTGGTGCTAAGGTTTCTATTTCCTCTACCTGTCAGCCAGTTTTGGATAGGATCGAGCAAAGGTTAGCGGGTTGGAAGGGGAAATATTTATCTTGTTGTAATGGGTGATTATTTGTGGGCCTTTTTTTCTTTATGTTTTAGATATTTTTCTGTAGTGGGCCTGAAGTTATTAGGCCCAAATCGGATCTTTTATTTGTGTCTGAGTGTGCCTTCACTAATCAGGGGCACATCAGTCTTTTTATGTACCATTAGCCCCTTGATATTGTTAGTAAACTCTAGCAGATTCTAGGTTGAAGTAGAGAAGAAGAAAGAAAAGATAAAGAAGAAGAAGAAGAAGAAGAAGAAGAAGAAGAAGAAGAAGAAGAAGAAGAAGAAAGAAAGGTTCGACCAAACTAGAAGAGAGTCAAAATCACTCTCCCCTAGCTGACCCACTTGTATTTATTCRAAAACATAGAGTTACAGGAAAGACCATTTTGTCCCTCATAGAAGATGGGACACATAACTTAAACTCAGATACAATAGACCTTTCACTCTCAAGCAGATAATCCAAAATGACCAAAATACCCCTGACTCGAGCATTCTAACAGATATAAATATTGCTTTAGGGCTGGTTGAGAACACTTGCTGCCCATTCATTCTCTTCTCTCTTCTCTGTTTTCTCTTTCTTTTGCTCCAATCACTGCTACAGGTTAGCAAGTATATCTCTTGGTGGGAGAATAACTTTGATTAGAGTGTCGTATCTAATCTCTTGATCTACTACCTCTCTCTACTCAAGATCCCATCACCGGTGGCAGAAGCAATAAAGAAGATGCAAATAGATTTTGTTGGAATGTAAAGTGGTTGGAGAAAAAAATCATCTTGTGAAGTGGGGTTGGGTTTGCAGAGACAAAAATGGTGGTGGGCTTGGAATTAGAAGAATAAAAATCTTTAACAAGGATTTGTTGGGTAAATGGATGTGAAGATTTGGGGAGGAAAGGAGTTCAGTTTAGAGAAAGGTAGTTGCTTGTAAGTATGGTATTACAAATTTTGGTTGGGATTATGAACTTTCTATCATCTTTCTTTCAACTGTGTTTCCTTCAAGGTGGGAGGTGAAGCCAACTTCAGATTCTAGGAGGATGATTGGCTGGGTATTGGTAGACTTTGTGAGCTTAGTACAAGATTTTATTTGCTCAGTTGGAAAAATGTGTCAATTGTTGAAATTTATGAGGTGAATCAAGGAAGAGGGGAGTGGTGACCCAGATTTAGAAAACCACTGCTTGGTTGAGAGGTAGAGGATTGTTAGCGAAGTTGCAAACAATAGAGATCCAGACAGCCAGATGAGATGTGAGATGGTGGAAAGAAAGTAGAAATGGTATGTTTAAGGTAAAATTTTATTACAACCATAGTTTTCAAGGTGTCTAGGCGATTTTGGGTGACACTAGGGTGCCTAGTCGCCTAGTTGCCTAGGCGATAAAAATTTTATAATATGAAAAACTGACTTTTGGCTAGTTTCCTAGTTTTATATACCATTCAACATGTATGTTAATTGAAAAATAGCAATTCTCTTTATTAAGAACATTAAATTTCCTCTAAAAATGTGGCAAATCATCACATCTAAAAGATAAAAATCTTTTACATATATTAATTTCATTATTTAAAAAAAATAATACTACTAT